GACCTTACTTCGCTGAGTCCATAATCGACGAAGACGTTTGCCGGCGGACTGCATCACTCGAAGGCGAATCTGTTGCTTGTTTGGTGCCACTTCTGCAGGATTGATTATAGGTCAAATGGATCGCAAGTTCATTGGGCGTCTTTTATCTCGTTTTTGACTTGGATAGCCCATTTCATTTTTTCTTCAGTCTCCTTGAGAGAGGCGAGAGCACTATCAATGTTGGCTGCGCCCTGATAGTTCCTCTCGATCAAGGCCCGCACTTCCTCATCGTGAGCCTTTTTGTATGCTTCGTAGTCCTCGAAGAGCTGATCGAATCTCTCTCTACCTAGCTCGATTTCACGATTTTTCTGCGCCATGACCGCGTCCAGGCGTTCTAGCTGTACGTCTCTTTTTTCATGTTTTGCTTTCAAGGCGAGGAAATCATCCCGTATCGCTTTAAGTTTCCTCTGCTGATCTGCGCGTTCACGTTGTCCGGCTTTCGCAAGCACGTCGTACTGTGTCCGAGAGTGATTGGCAATCTCCTGTAGCTCCGCGCATTTTCGATTGAATTCGTCCCGAGCCTCGTTCATCAATTGCTGGAACTTATCGGTCTCTCCCTCTGCTCGACGTCGTCTTTCTTTCTCGCTCTGTACTTCGGCCCGTAACTCCTCAATTTTCTTGTCCTTGCGCCGGATCGATTGTAGATTCGTTTCGTTGGCCTGCTCAAGATTTCGAAGGCGCTCGGTCATGTTCTGTACCTGCATCTTAAAAGCATCGTTCATCCGCTGGGTTTCTTCCGCCCGTGAGCGATATACACTGCATTCGCGCGTCAAACGTGCGATTTCTTCTTGAAGATTATGTATGACACGGCCAGATTTGCCTGTGGTCGCATGGCCAACGGCCGATGACCATTCGGCGGTAGCAGCATCGCCGTTCGGAGGATTGGAAGTAGTACGTGGGGACGCGGATGTGGAATCTAACAAGATGCGCAAAGACAAATCAGCATTCAGAATTCGAAGCGAGCAGCTAGTTTCAGGTATTGCCACGTTGATATAAGATGGAAGGGCCTACCCGGAGAAGTTTCTACGGCTATAGTTGCCTTTTGGCTTTCAGGGGAGTTGACATCGAATAAACCATTGTACTGATGCATATTCAACTGGGTTTCCACATGAGGTAGGCTGACACGGGGGGGTCTCGGAGAATCTAACGTAGGTGACGCAAGCGTCTCCGGGTCAGCATTGTCACTTTCTGCCCTGGCAGCATTCTTCTTTGATCGCACCAGCCTGGCCATTATAGGGGTCGGGGCAGATTGGAATGCAGGCTGAGTGTTAATAAGGAATGGCAAGCTCGAAGCAGTAGCGATCGGACCACAGCAATACCAGCAGGGAAACAGACGGGCGATGTCAATGGCAATTGCCTGCAACGCCGGAGCTATCCCCAATGCTCAAGGAAGGTGCGAAGCGAAGGTGCAAGTCGGGGATCTCGAAGCTCCGGAATGCATGGGAATTGAGGATGGAGACGACGGGAATAAAGACAAAGAGACATACCCTTGTGAAGATCAAGGATGGGATGCAAAGAGCTCCAGCTGAACTATTGACACGATGAGTTCTATGCTTTGTCATCGCCGAGACACATAACAAAGCTGCAGTGCGACAGATAGAGATTGGGCTGGAATAGTTCAAAACTAGCAGCTGAAGGTGGATAACTTACTGTCACAAACTGCGCACAGTAGAGTAATCAAAGAGCGAGATTGAATACAGCCTAACGAGTGTAAATGAAGGGTATACAGTTTCCAAAGAGATATATAACTGAAGACACTACTGTCAAGAAACAGCAGTAGCGACCATTATCATCAAGAATTGATGAGTGATGAGGTTTTATAATTATCCGGTCAGGTACGCATGAGCAGTGGGAACATCCATGGAGGAGAGCCAGCCGCTAACAGCGGACACTAACAGCTTTCTGTCCAACAGCCCACATCGATTGTGAAACATGTACTTGACGTCCATTTGTGCTCATGATCAAATTATTCATTTATCCCTAACTCCATTTCTTCAGTAAAGCAGTGATGGATATACTGCGGATGAGGCTTGCAGGGTCGAGCAAACAGGTCGATGCTTGAGCTGCCCTGAAAGGTACAGCAGAGTTCAACAACAATCATGGCCCGATCTCTTGAGACAACCCGACTGTCACAGGACTTTTTGAATACAATGGGGACTATGTACAACGAACTAAAGCAGAAGTACTCCGAAGCCAATGTGTTCAAGCATTGGCAAATGATCTCAGGATGCCTGGCCCCGAATTTGGTCACCTAAATCCCATCCTATTCGGCGACATAGAACAAGACGCCTGCTGTGGCCAGGATCCAGCCAAGGTACACGTTTTCCATAGAAGCACCGCTGGTTTCTAACTTAGCCGCCATTGCGCTTTTGCCGTGAGTGAAGTTTGAGTCAGATCCCTTGGACATATCTTCAACATTGGTGAATTGGGCATTGTTACCCTTGGCGACCTCCGTTTCCCACTCGTCGTCAGGTGAGGTGTCGGTGCTGTGATGGGGTGAGGCGTCATCCTGAGGGGCGGGTGTGGAGATGTTCTGCGGCTTAACGTCTTCTGTGGGCTTTGGGGGCTTCGGAGGACTTGGTGGCTTGCTGGCAGGGTTCCCAAGTGTCATCAGTCCTGAATAGTTCTCCTCGGCGCCTTGCTGGATTTGCAGGGCATAGTCTGAACCATCGGGCAAGGAATCGTCGGGAACAAAAGTGAAGGATCCGCCTTTCGCATTGGTAGTCAGGACTTGGACGTGGTCGAGGTTGGTTGCATCGCCTTTACGCAGATAAATGGTGACAGGCTGAGCACAGCTATGGTGAGTAAGGGATGATCATCTGACGGAAAGAGAAGGGCATTCGCGTTTACGCACAACGTCAGGAGCTCCCAACCAAGTCACCGTAGCTGGCTGACCATGGTCGATGTGGGTTGGCCATGTTGTAAAGGCCAACATCTGAGCGGCGCCCAGCTGAGCCAGGCAGACCCATGTTGCCAGAAAGGTCCTTGACCAAAACATCGTGATTTGGAACGCTATCAGAATTAGACGCCAGTAGTTGATCGCTCGGGCAGGAGAGGCACCAACATCAAAGCAAGAGCAAGAGCACAGCTAAACAGTTGAATGGAGTCTGATGCACATAAAGATGCCGATGTACCTGAAATGCTGATCTTTGGAGATGGGCCGGGTATTCAGAGCAGCAGCGTGGCGGGTTGTAGATGGTATAAGGGCGCCACCTGAAAGACAAGCGGCAGGCACGATTGACGTTCGAGTCGTCAAAGCCAGACTTCAAATCCAATGATTCCTTCTTTATACCGGCGGTGAGATCTCACTGATGAACGAGGTAGCAAGGACGTGGCGACTATGGATCCCGCGGAAAGAACGATTGAAGGATCGAACTTCGAAGTGATGACCATGCGACCATTGCGAGCTGCTGAATCCCTTCATTTATGGAAAAACAACAAAAGGTATTTGTCACTCGCGTCCTACATTCTGAACGCATTCCAATCAACAAAATGGCGTGTATCACTTAGGTCGTGCTCTAAGGAATGTGCTTCGACAGCGCAAACTCAACTAAACTTGCGGAATGGGATTTGAATGTGCATTTACTCGTGACAGTGATCAACAAGCTGAGCCCTTGGGCAAGGCTTGAAGGGTCTGGCCGACTGTAAGGTGCCTTAAGGCAGTCTCCGTACGCCGCTGAGATGATCGGTGTTTGCCCCAGGCGTTCCTAGACGACTATCTCAACTCTCTTTCATCTTTCAGAGTTGGATGTCTTAAGAAGCCATGAGACATACTTGGAAAGACAATCTTGCCTGCGGCATGTGCATTAGCAACGAAGAAGGATCTCCATCAACCGATATGCCTAGCTTGATTATCTCTCACAGTCTCAAGCTACATGGTAAAAGAGCAGCGTAAAACCGCTCCCCTCTGATATGCAACTTGGAAAAAGCACCCAACTACCAGCTTTCCGCTCCTGCGATCATTTGTGCACTCTAATGATGACTAAACAATATCTTGGGTAACTAGGTAACTGTTCGACCCTCTTGTTGGTTGACATTCTCGAGTCAGGTGTGTTTTCCTGCAAGGGGTCGGTGAGCCTGCATTGGAGGCTGAGAGGCCAGAGCTCAGGGGAGATCAACCTAATCGCAAGTAATAGCCATGCCACTAACGAAGCTTGAATCTATCTACCAGTCACTGCTTGATCTACCTGATCCGATCGTGATCATCCTTGCGAAAGATGAAATGATGCAATTTGTACTTCTACCACGCCCTGTTCTCCTTCTACCATCTAATCTCAAGTGCCAAGGCAAAGTCAATTGCCAGTGATGTACTCTTCTCGACGGAGCTCATTCGTGTTCTCAGAACCCCTAGTTTTGTTTCTTAGACTATGATCGATTCATATGCCGTGTGGAGGCACTTAGGTACTATGACAATGGTGACGGTGCATGCACGATGGTTACCGAAACCGGAAACAATATCAATGTTGGATAAAACTAGCCCGTAGTATCGAAAATAATACAACCCGACAGGAGGGACCCGCCTGACTGGATAGGTAAAGATGTAAGCTCTATTGCTTACTGTAATGCAAGAAGGCCCCGGATGCATCGGTCTGTCCTCCATCCCATTTGCAATTGCTTAAACGCCACCTGCATCAGGGGAAACCCTTCCATGTTCCTTCCACACTTGAGTTCCATACTCCATCCCAGGTAGTCAGGATGTCACAGGTAGCTTAGATGTCCGTTCCTCAGGATGGAACTTTGCTTCATCAACTACACTCGTTCGCCCATATACGCTCGTTCAGTCACTTTTTCCGATATCATACTTTTTATCTTTTTCACTGGCATAGTTGGTTACAGTCATTCGTTTAGAGACACACTCGTTAAAAGGTTCTTCGTATTCCCCCTCGTTCATCATCTTTAGCACCGGGTCTCCTTTTAGCTTCCAAGCATTTTTGGGGCATGACACAGCTTCCGGCACTGGAATGTCGCAAACTGATCAGCGAAGTGATCTAATCGTCAGCCTCGGGCATAGTGATCGACATCAGCAGACTTGCCAAGAATCCGAGCCGGTGTCATTTGCTGCAGCATCACAGAGTATCGAGGGGTCACAACGATTCTATCGCTCTTTGGACAGACAGGATGAAAGCCAGGAGGTCGGTCATGAGAGGCCCCAATCGGCCCACTCTGGACGTCTGGTCACATTGGAAGAGACGCGCGATGGGGCTTTGCATACGCTCGCTTTGTGTCGCAATGTCATCATAACCCTCGAATTGACACGCCTGCGCAAGTCCCGGACTGGATTTTCCTATTGGATGTCATTTTGGGCGCGGGTATATCAGAGACCGCTCGCTCGAAGTCTTTGTTCTCATGTCGCGAAAGCGTTGAATAAGGTCGATGCGCTGTTTCGCGCTGTCTCTCAAGAGCTTCAACAACTTACGTCGAGAATGGAACACGCGGTCGCCGTGGCTTCCTCGGAGAAGGAGATTCTGTATCTGCTCGAACGAATGGAGGAGGAAGTGAGTGTGCGCCAAAGACGGAGGCGTCAAAAAGCCCAAAGCATCACGGAGAAGATGCGCGCCAAAATAGAAGCAACACCGGTCAGAGTCACAGACACGCTTTTCAACGATCTAAAGCGTGGAGTGTTTGCCCTGGACGTCTTTTGTGACTATCATCCCGGAGACCCTGTTGCGGAGGCAAATGAGATGTTGTGCGGAAACAACCTCGAATACCCTCCACATCCATCGTTGGGAACGATTGGACCATACGACTATCGCCGAATGCAAGAGTCGCAACAATCTGCAACGCTCGACGTCGACGCCTTCATGCCTTTGGCGACCCACCCCGGTAATTCGTACTATCATTATGTCGAGAGATTGATAAATCAGGACGACAGCTTTTCAGGTTGGACAGCGACAGAAGGTTTTTCAACGGACAGTTGGTGAGATTGGCAGGGTTTTGTTCGAAGGAGATCACATTCTTGACTGATGATTTGGTATAGTTGAAGTATAACTTGGGATTTTGGTACGACCTCCTGCCGAGTCAAGGCAAGGAAGGAGTAATGACAATCATTAGATAGTATGGATTGCTTTTCGAAACAGCTTTTTAGCAAAGAAGTCTATAGACAATCAAACGGATTTGGTAACACCAAATGATATACGCTAGAGGAGAAAAATTACCTGCATAGCCATGCAGATTTCGCGATTTTTTGACCCGTCATGCAAAATTCCATAAGCCTCTCATGAAGTTACCAGGCGCATTGTCCTGGCCTCCATCGTCCTCGAGTAATCTGTCGGTGAATATTCGCTTGGGGATATGATATTCAACGACTGGGATTCTCTTGAACGGCTTGTCTTCCGTACCGAGTTCTGCCTGCAGCATTCCTTGGTAGGTATAGTCCAGGAAATCTTCAAGGTTGTAAGCCTGTTTTGTGAATTGTTCCGAGATAATCCGGGCAATCGCAGCGACATTGGGGTGGTAATGCGACTGGAGCGTCTCGATCTCCCATAGACTGCTTTCAATCGCTTTTGTGCGGGTTGGGTCTCCCTCGTTCACGTCGAACGGGTCATCCATGCCCTCGGCTTCGAGCGTGGCCTTTGTTTGCTCGTCGCGGACGACGCGGTGGAGCATGAAGGTGCACGTCGGGTGATTCTTGAGTAGATTGTAGATGAAGGGGACGATTACCACGATAGCGGTGGGGGGTGCATTAAGCGCGAGACGAGAAAGACGCTTGATAAAGCTGGCGATAAGCGCAGCGGGAAGGTGGGTGGAGGAGAGGAAGGTGTTCATCAGTCGGAAGAACCGAGAGCGGTGTTTCGAGTGCAGGAGATCGGCATCGAGGAGGGAATATAGTTTGTGGTAGAATTGGGGATAGTCCAGGTTCTTCTCCTGGATCAAGTAGAAGAGACCAGAGAGGGCGAGGAGGGATGTCGCGCCGCCGACATTGTATGAATCGGTCAGGAAGTCCATGAGCAGTTCAGGGCGGTTGAACCAAGGCTCTATGGTGTAGACCATGTTGCGCAGCAGCGTTTTGCGTTGAGTGTGGGAGAGGTCGTTCTGAAGTATAGCCAGCCAGGCATTCTGTGCCTGTTTCTTGTGCGAGTTCACTGAGAGGAGCTTCTTGTTCTGCTTGCTCGTTTTGGCGTGGAAGTTTTCAAACTTGTGTTCAGGACCAGGGACATTGTCGCATTCCGATAGCATTGAGATGAGGACGTCGAGAACTTCGGAGCTTCTTTTTGTCTCTGCATAGTCACTAGTATCCAAAGTCAGTATACAACAAGGTTTCTCGGAAAAGAGGAAGCGGAGACGTACGAGACTTGCACGAAGGTGTAGTATCTTACATCCTCGTATGACTTCGCGAATTGATCCAAAAATTCCGACCTCAACGCCTGCCCGTTCTTTGCTTCGACGACAGCCTCGAATACATTCTTGAAGAGGCCAGAAAGCCAGACCTGGGTATCATCGCCCGGTAGATGTGTCGCACGTTCGTTGATAATGCGCATGCATAGAGTCAAGGCAGTAACCTGCCACGCTATCAGAAAATGCCAACTGAGTGTAGGGAAGCCTTCATGACAAACCTGAGAGGAAGGATCTGCTTCACGAAGTATCGATACCAGTGCCTTTTGGTATTCCCGACAACGTTCCTTCAACCAAGCAACGATGATCTTCTCGTTCTCTGCTGCGCGACTCGTCTCGGTCAGATTCCCCAGGGCCATCAATCTGCTAAAGACTCGACAGAGTGACACCGCCACGGCCAAATTAGGCCTTCCCTCATTCCCATCCGCATTGAGCATCGAAATCAGTGTCACAATGTTGTTATAGTACTTTCGCGATTCAGAGATCTGGTCTTCCAGCTCTTGGATCTTGGCCATCTCTCCATCGCTCTGAGTCTCAGCGACTGCACGGCGCTTAGACGAAGGAACTCCGCCTTCTTTGACGTTCTTTCGCTTCTTGGAGCCTGTAGCTCCGTCCGTAGGCAGCGGCATTTTGTTCGCAGATATTTGAATATTAGTATTTGAGCTCGAATCGTGCTTCTGCAATCAAGGCTCTTCTTCCTGGTGCCATTAATTTTTTGATAATTCCTCGGCTACCAGTTTTTCCGTCAGCCGCACCAAACCAAATATGGTTAGCGTCTGCCGCACCGTCCAAAGCCCCATTCCGACCTCATTCTCGTCAGTTCCGTTCATCCATCACATCTTTCAAGGACTTCTCATCGTCACAATGGCTTCGCGTCTGGCTAAGAGCGCCATTGGTATGCCGCACACGATTTTTTGCAAGGCCATGAATCACCTCATCACAGTCGCTAACCCCAACTAGGTGCTACCCGGCTCCGGCCGACTCTTCCCGTGCGCAGTGTCGCTGCCAACCTGACTGCCTCTCGTTCGGCCTCCAACGTCCCTGCCGAAGACCCCAAGAAGAAGGCTCAGTCGATCATCGACTCTCTTCCCGGCAACTCCCTTGTATCTAAGACCGCTATCCTGTCCGCCGCCGCCGGTCTTTCCGTCGCCGCCATCAGCAACGAGCTCTATGTTATGAACGAGGAAACCGTTGCCGCCTTCTGCCTTCTGAGTGTCTTCACTGCTGTTGCCAAGTACGGTGGTCCTGTCTACAGTGAGTGGGCTCAGGGCCAGGTCCAGAAGCACAAGAACATCTTGAATGCTGCCCGTGCCGACCACACCAACGCTGTCAAGGCCCGCATGGACAACGTCAAGGAGCTGTCCAGCGTTGTCGACATCACCAAGCAGCTCTTCGCTGTTTCCCGGGTAAATTCGGTCCTATGAATCGATATCTAGCCAGAATGGTTTGCGCTGATACGTTGTTGAAGGAAACCGCCCAACTTGAGGCTCAGGCTTATGAGCTCGAGCAGCGCACCGCTCTGGCCGCCGAGGCCAAGTCCGTCCTTGACTCGTGGGTTCGCTACGAAAGCCAGGTCAAGCAGCGCCAGCAGCGTGAACTCGCCGAGTCCGTCATTGGCAAGATCCAGAAGGAGCTTGAGAACCCCAAGGTCCTCCAGCAGATCCTTCAGCAGAGCGTTGCTGATGTCGAGCGTAAGTCTCATTCGCCCCGAAACCTTCTGGTCCATTCGCAAGCTTACCATATAAACCAGGCATCATGTCCGCCAAGGCCCAGTAAATGGACTCTACATGAATAGCCTCGTTATTAGCATCATGTATAAAATCATTTACCATTTTACTCTTGTGCTCGATTAGACATATCAATACCAGTTTTTTGCCCTATCCACGCGCGGCCCCGCCTGTCTAAACGCGTTCCATTTCCGTCTGATCACTGATCAGTCGGTGCATCTGCTCAGATACTGTACCCCATACTGTGTAGTCATTCTACCCAAATCCCTAGGTCTCCGGGTAATTGCCCTGTGTCTCATACCTGTACCCAGTTGTACTATCTTCCAGTGGACTCGGCTGATCATCTGCAAACTGCAATATTCTGTAGCGTATGTCGCTTACAGTCATAATTATGCACTTCCTCTTGTAAGACACTTTTCAATTACTGGTAGATACGTCTCGTCCCTTGTTCGGCTTCAGCGTACCATCTTTAGAAGGCACTTAGCATAAGGTCAAAACCTACCGAGAATCACTATTAAACAATACAAACAGTCCGTCATAAATTCGCACGGCAGGGATTGAGAAACAATCCGAATGCAATGAATATAAAACATAATATAATATGCCCATGAAGTGGTTCAGGAGCCAAGACAACCGACACTACTAACCACGGAACGACTCAGGGACACCATTGGAATTATCCCAAGCGATCCGTGATGATATTTAAAAATACAAAGCACAACTAACACAGCCACATCCCCAGCCTCGTGCCACGTACAGAACACAAGGCTGGAATATAATTTACCTTGAGGATATATGAAGCTCGATAATTCCGATATACACTATTTCATACAAATCGCTCCTTTCTTCGTCCGACAGACACACAAACGACCCCTGGGTAAATTGCCGGGTATCCACCCCGCAAACCACCTCTCCGCGATAAGCCCGCCGCAAGATGCCGCTGCGCGATATCCTTCACAAGAAGGACAAGATCAACGACTCAGGGAGTCAGTATCCGCCGGATGTACCCTCAAATGCTGTTCCCGAGATTAAATTCATTCGATCCGATACAATTTCGCATGAGGTTATTGACCCATCGAGCACTGGCGGTGACGTCAGTGAGCACCGAGGCGACCATGGTCAATCGGATCTCCTAGAACCATCACGACCATCTTCCTCGACGCATCGAAGATCATTGAACATATTCAGCCGCTCGAGGTCCCCGTCTGATTCTTCAGAGCCAGCTTCGCCGAGTCGACCGCGAGGGGAACACCGGTTATCGCAATTGCTGCATCGCGATCGGGGCTCGCGGCGTGCTAGCTCGAGCTCAGTCAATGTCCCGTCGGATCTTCCGCAGATTTCGGACGATAAAGTCGACGAGCAAGAAAGGGAAGCACAATGGGAGAAGCGAGCGACGATTCTGGCGCAACAGAGCCCGCTTGCTGGATCGCCAGCAGCATCACTTCGTTCTTCGCCGAATAGGCTAGAGACAAACAGTGCCGGAGGAGCGCGGTCAAGAAGTTCCAGTCATAGTCGGATCAATGATCCAGAAGGCGATGTAAGTCTCTGTACTTGGTTGAAGCCATTTAGTGCACTAGCCAGTGTCTAATGGTGGGCTTAGGTCAATATTCAAGAGGCGATTCGTCTACACGAGGCTGGCGGTGAGTTCCTGTTCTCGCACGTCGTTTGGATCCATGCTAATGATCGCATCATACAGAGCTTGAAAGGTCCACAGAAATGTTCCGCCAACTGGCAGATCCGGAAGGTGCGAACAACGCTTTGAGTCAAGTGCTCTATGGACTTGCGCTGAGGTACAGCTCGACTACCCTACCCCTCTTGTCCATATCGCTTTTGCAATGTCTCCCTTAGTATGGAGGGTTACAAAGATCTACCTTGTCTGCTTGCTTTAGAAGAGTGTCTAACTTTGGATCGCTCTCCTAGACATGGTTGGGGCTGCCCTCAAGATCCCGACAAGGCCGTTACATATCTCTCAGCCGCAGCGGCGAATTCCGCATCAATTGAGTCTCAAGCACTCCAGGCAGGTATGAAAAAGGGAGGCGCTGCCAAAGGAGAGCTCGTACTGGCAATCTTCGAACTGGGAAATTGCTATCGGAATGGCTGGGGCGTCAAAAAAGACCCGGTAGCTGCCCGACAGTACTTTGAAACAGCGGCCAATCTAGGCGATACAGATGCGATGAACGAAGTCGCATGGTGCTATCTTGAAGGCTTTGGGGGGAAGAAGGACAAGGTACGCCATTACTGGACCTCCAACTGCCCGTATCGGCAGAGCCCCGTGATTTCAGCCCTGAAGCCTTGCTCATCTTGTTCTCCTCGGGCATTCATGCCTTCTTTTGGGGCTTGAAAATCATCACTCGGGCTCATGGACTTTTGATCTCTCGTTAAGGCTCTGCTGACTCACGACGATCGCTCAACGCTTAGTTCAAGGCGGCCAAATATTATCGACTGGCCGAAGAAAAAGGGAACAAAATAGTAGGAAATTCCTGGTACGTGTATTGCTTGTTGCCAATTATCTTCGAACCCCCTTTCTCGCATCAGGCACCTCTTACCTCCCTCCCATTTCCTGCTATTCTATTGAATCGCTTCCACCGAGTGTGACGAAGTCAATTGTTTTAGCCAAAAAGCCTGCGACTTCACTACCACTCAGGGTCATGATGTCCGAGAGGTCGGGGGTTTGGTTGGAGCGATAGGCTCTCGTGGTGTCTTTGGCAAGCTGCGCCATGCGAGCCGCCGTCACAGTCGCAGCCAACCACAACCTCGCCCACACCAACTTCAATCAACCATCTAGACCCCATCGATCATCAGGCCGACAGCTGACACCCACATGCTTCTCATGACAGGATCTGGAAGGAGAAATACAACCCCAAATGAACGAGACCCGCACAGTACAGCGAGGACGTACTTCGCACGTACAATCCCGACGCCCGCCGAATGATACCCCCCCGCCCCTTTGCAGGCTGTGGCCAGCAGAAATCCTCAGATGCCTCTCATCTACTCTTCGGCGTCTCTCGCCTGTTGTCCTTGGGAATATATACGTCAGTGTCACCTTGGTATCCATGTATAGGGCTGCCTAATGAGACGCATAACCCGCGTACTTGCATTTATTATTGTATATCTGGTAATACGAACAAAACATGATCTATGATCCTTCAGTGGATGATGCATAGATGGCCCAATGCAGCCTCATCTTTGCACTGCAGCCCGATCGCTGCACATGTACTTTGTTTTCACGACCGTACTTCTGCCATAGTATTCACATCAGCTGTGCCCTGGTGGCTTTCATTAGAAGCTACGGAATTGGTCCTTCTGGATGCGATGCCTATGGGTAAGAAGGTTGATGTCAGGTCTTTCATATTGTACCTTTTTTATATGGTAGCCTGCTACATTCGCTATTTTAATTTTAGTTGAGGATGGGCAGTAGCCGAGGATTGGCTGCTGCTGCTGCCCATGTCTCAAGCCGACAATTTGAAGTATAAAACTGTTATACCTTGTCACCGAGGGACTAGATGTCTACGTTGAGGATAGCATAAGTAAACCATTCATATCATCAAGTCGTTTCATGACAGAGATTCGAGGGCGTCTGCCCGTAACATTAATATATACAGTAACATGACATCGTATAATTTTCATGTCCAACAAAGTAAATTCGTCAGAAAAGAGTGGCCAGGCACGAATGACAAGCCCAAGAAAAGAAAGTGCATCAATGTCAGTCATGCAATCTTCCATGTACAATATCAGGACCAGGTGGAATGACCGGGTCATCAGAGTATATGAAAGAAGAAAATCAGGCCACTTCTAGTTGGAAAGGTGCCTGCAGCAGAAAGGCAGAGAAAACGCTCAAATGACCACCTGCAATGGCAGCCCGGCTGTCCAGATGAAAACCAGGTAAACAGAAACATCAAGATGATAATAAAGAGTCATATACATCGTATCATAATAGTCGTAACAGGATGGCCGCCGTCGCTCAGTCACGTCCACAATCAAATGCAATAGAATCCCAAGCAAGATGAAAAACATAGAAACGCAAGCCCGAATACAAAATGAGAATGGAAAGTTCCTGTCGATCGCTCGACAAACACACTCTGTCCTGTTGTGCCTGTGTCTGTTTTCAAAACCGCGAAGCCCACCCAAAATTAACATGCCAAACCCAAGGAAAAAGAGACAGAGAAAAACAGAAAAGTACAGATGCAAGTGTCTTGAATGCGCGTAGAAAGCCATTCCCAGGCCCGATGCACGACAAAGGAGAACCAAATGTACGCCGACGCAACCGAAAAGAAAACATCGCTAATTCGTCAGGCCAAGCCGAAAAATGGCTGGTTTGTAGAGTAGATCGAGTAGAAAGAAGATTTGATGGTGCTGTCTATGCATGCATACGGCTAAGTCTGGCTAAATCTGGCCAAAGGAGAGTCGCGTAGCTCGACAGCATAAGGTGCTAGAAGATGTTTGGCTGAAAAAGGAAAATCGTGGATGAAGGCGAGAAAGAAGCCGCAGAACGAAACGTTTGTGTAAATTGCTTTGGTGAAGGGTAGGCAAGTTGGTTAAGGTGACTCTGGCTGGAAATGCCGCTGGAAAACGAGACGAGATGACTAAAGTACGCTGTGACGAACGATCTGTCGGTTATACTATTCACGTCTGGCTGAAGCCGGACTGCTCCTCTTTGATAGGGGAAGCGCCATATTCCTGAACCATGCGTTGAAAATCGCGAATCACCTTCTCGGGAACGCGATCCCACATCAAAGATCTGGTATACACGTCGGATGTAGCCTTGTTCGGCAGTTTATTTAGAGTGGCATTGTTCCGCATCGCGGCCAAAGCCTGCTGCAGATTAGAAGGCTGAGACTTGTAGTCGACATGAGACTCGTCAAATGTGGTCAAGGCATTGTATTGTTCAGCATTGAGGGAGAAGACCTGTTGTCGCTCCTGCTCCTTGGTAGGCAACGCGAGGTTGTTGTGAAGCTCGTCGAGGTTGGAGTGAGCAGTACCCGTAGTCATATGAGCCATCTCCGCTCCGCTGATGGTCGTTGGCATTGGAGCAGCGGAGGCGGAAGAGGCCACCACTTGCTGAGTGTTCGCCTGTGCGAGCTCTGGTGGAGAGGCGGCGAGAACAGCCTTCAGGACGTTGGCAGACTCTGCGCGGTACTCCTCCGACAATTGCGGAATAGAACGTGAGGAGAGCGACGGGCCGTTCGAGGCCAGGAACGCGCCAAAGAGCAGACACATGTAGAAGGCATTCCAGCTGAAAGGGTAGTCACTGGCTGTGTTTGTACTCTTTTCGGTGACCCTATCGTTCGTAGACATCACCATTGCTGATGACTGCATCGTGGTGATGGCAGGAGTCGACTCCGCCTCGAGAGGAAGACCGTTGGACATGGTAAAGTCTTCCCAAGGCGCACTGTCCATGGTCAAATTCTCAAAGTCAGAGAAGTCAGTGTTGAGATTAGTGGTAGCCGATGATCTCATCTGTCTCTCAAGCTTCTCCACTGTCTCTTTGAGAATATTGTTCTTCTTTCGAAGTTCAGCCGTCTCCAGAGTGTGCACGCGAAGCATCTCATCCTTATCCATGTGCAAGCCTTCGATGTACTGGTTGATCTGCTGCTGGGCAGCCATCCACTCGCTCTTTTCACGGAGAAGCTCAGCCTCACGCAACTTCATGTTCTGCAACGCTTCTTCGAGTTCACTGATAACCTGAGTGAAATGTTTCTTTTCCTCCTCAAGCTTTTCAGTGTGGAGCTTTTTCCGTTGACGCGAATCCAATCTAGAATACCGTGCGGTGTTAGCAGAACCACACAAAACGAAACAGGGACGGGGATATGTCCAATGAGACAATTGGGAGTACTTACGCAGCTTGACGGTTTCGGAGCAGACGCTTCTGCTGCTTCAGTTCCTTGATCTCTTCCTCGTTCGTCGATTGATTGATCAGCTGGTCGATATTGCTCAATGTCCGTTCAGCAGGGATCTCGAAGCGGGCGTTCTTCTTCCGAATGCCATCCCGCCGAACACTTAACGGCGAGCTGTTGCGATAGGTCGGGCTCTTTGTGGGGCGCGAAATTGCATCGGGCATATCCGTCGATGCAGGCATCCAGCCCTGACTGGACTGTGGGGACATAGCAATAGCGCCGGGAGGCGCAAAGCCCATGCCTGGTCGGTACGACATGGACGCAATGTTGATGGCACTCACTGGCCCCACGGCGCCACCGGAGAAAGGGGCAGAGGAATTGTTCTCCAGGTCCGGGTGGAAGTGCTCGTACATGGCAGTCGGAGTACATGAGCCGGAATCCCTGGACAAGGACCAGGATGTCTGCTGACCATAGGCGGAGGCAGGGTGAGCACCATCGACCCGCATGAAAGGATTGGGGTTGGCATCATAAAGACCATGGCCGACTTGAGAATTGTGGCGCGACTGGGCGCTGGAGACTGGTTGCGAAAAGTCTGACCAGACTGAATCCCGATGCGAATACGCATCTGGCGCATGATCATATGAAGAACGTCGGTGGTCGGGAACGGTAGACAGTTCGGGGGAAGTAGAGTCCAGGATCTTGTCATCTAATACACTCATCTCGTCCTCTTCTGGATATGAGGGTTTTGTCCCCATAGTAGATGTGGACTGGTGGTAAAAGTCGAAAGGTGGTTGAGAATATCTCGCCATGACTGCAGATAACTGTGCGTATGCTCAAATTCTGCAAAGAAAGTATATGCAAAAGGTCGTCAGAGCAGTGATAGCAGTCCGTAGATTTGAGGGCAATCAAGAAGCGGTGTGTAAACTGGATGTACGGAAAATAAAACAAGTCGAGGTGCGGGGCTTTGGTGGTAGATGAGAGGACGAAGAGAAGAGACAAAGGGTCGACAAGAGGATCCAAGTGTAACCGATGACGACAGTGAGAAGAAGGATAAAGTTGTTGTTGAAGGTAAGGAGGATAGTCGAAGAGAAGTCGTGATGATCTGAAAAGATGTATGAGTGGATAGGAAAGGAAGTAAAGGATAATCGTTCAAAGATAAAGAAGGAGAAGGAGAAGATAAAGATGAGGAAGAAGAAGAATGATGAGGATAAGAGGACTCTTGTGATCACAAGAAGAACCTCTTTCGAGAGCAGACTTTGAGGCTAATTGATGTTGTATGATAAGACAAGGGCAAGTGACGAGGGAGGGGAGAAGTCCATATATCTTTCCCTGGTTGTTGAGCTGATACGATGAGTAACCCTGTGATGGCCGATGGTGATGGTAGATTGGGATCAGAGTATCATGAATAAACCAAACCCAAATAATTACTAGAATAGTATAGTATCATGAAAAAAGAAATATATATATCAGACATAAACAAAGGCAAGTAAAAACAGTCGTTAAACAAATAGTTGAATAATAATATGAGTTACGGGGCATCGACCACTGCTGAATAGATCCCACTCCTACCTAACTACGGAGTTCAGTACTACTTGCACCAGATTCAAACCAAAGACTCCTACGGAATGATCCTAATCCATAGGAACCAAGCACCAGAGAAATCCGGCGGTCAGCGGGAAAAAGTCTAAGACAAGCACAACGAATTCTGACCGTTCCCGAGTTTAACGAGCTTCGGCCATTGGATGCTTCGTGCGCATTTGGGCAGACGTGCAGATGGCAGGGGGAAAATCCAGCATCGGTATGAGATGAATAATCAGATCCTTGGGACTATTCCAGCTTGAGAAAGAGGACTCCCAATTTGTTCTAGTTTCTGAGAATGTGCTTTTGCTTTTTTTTGCTCACTACTGTTTATCAGATATCATACAAGATGGGTAACGATACTTATTCTTCTTTGAGGGTGGCCTATGGATCGTCGTTCAGTTAGAGGACTGTACTGTACTTTAGATTAACACTACGGTACCTAGGTAGATACCT